GGGGAACGCGAGAAATTCCTATAATTTCTGCCATTTTATTGCCAGGTTTGTTGACCTACAGTGGTGCTCGGCTATGATGTAGTTTCCGATGACTATTCAACGCTACAAAACTCGTATCCGCAACGGTAGTATTTCTGTTGCGAAGCACAGCAAAAACAAGAAAAAGCATGCTTCGAAGGTGGGCGTGTTTTGTCTTGTGAGGTGGTTCGAACGCTTTGCAGAGGAGGTGGGGGAAGTTGTGCCAGTACGCGTCCGAATGCAGAAGACTGTGAATGGTACAACTCAAAAGTACTACAGCAGCGGAAAGTACACGCTGATACCGGCTCACGTTATGTGGGACGCCATCCACGACGAGATGCATACATACATCGAGTCAGGACTCAGCGTTTACGAGCCCGCCCGTTCTACAATGCGGAAGCTTCTGACACTGCACTATCCCACGATCCGATTTCGCTCTCCCCGCAGTAATGTATGTGATATCTATTCCATTTACTACTCTGGTATGCGGGGCAATATCACGGCGGACAAGACCGAGGCGCTCGGACGTCACACCGAACCAGCTCGAAGAATGCGGTGAGTTGGTACTGGGATATGAGTAACATTTTGATTTACTCGGAACATTTGGTCATGGGCATTGACAACATTTTGAATAATTGTTGAAGGGAGTACAAGCAAAACAAGGCTACGAGCACCGATGACATGCAGTTTTGGTGATGGACTACTCGCAGAACTTGACGCTCCCGAGCGTTGCGAATACTCCATCGCAGTGGTACTTCTGCTCTCTTGTATCCGTGAGCTGCTTTGAAATCTACTACGAGAACGAGGGCCTGCAGACAAACTACCTGTAGGATGAAAGAACTAGTGGAAAGGGTAGTGATCAGGTCAACTCAATGCTGGACGTTTTCATCGGAAAACTGGTGGATGCTGGTAAGAAACGACTGACCCTCTAAGCCGACAAGTGCACTGGTCAATACAAGAACAATTACGTGGTGAAGTTTCTACTGGCACAGGTTGACATTTGTCGTTTGCAGCACGTGGACTACAAATTCTTTGTTAAAGGCTACACGAAGAACTCGTGTGACCGTGATTTTGGCCACATTCGAAAGCAACAGGACTTGACATTTGGACGATGGACCAGTTAGTCGAGGCTGCCAAGACGGCTGCGTCTAATGCAACTACTGTGTATGTGCCACATGGAGGTGACCTATTTAAAGGGTACAAGAAGGAACTCACAGAGCTCTACAAAAGGCTGGACGGGATTCAGCAATACCAAATATTTTCTATGGACTCCAGCAAACCCGGTGTTGTGTGCTGCCGCATGAGCCCTGAGTCGGAGGTTGTAGAGGTGGATTTGCGTCGTAAGTTCCACGGAGTATTGACACTACAGAAAAAAGGTCACTCGAATGCTGACCGAGCATCTTGAAAGCTTGCCACCTCCCAACACTGAAAATATTGCCCAGATGTACCAATCTATTCGGCCCAACGTTCCTGATGTATTCCGCGACGACCCGCTGTACGAGAAGCCGAGTGCCCGACAGGAAGAAAACGCGAAAGCCGCAAAGAAAGCGAGGCGTATACAATGTGCTGCAATGGCTGTAGCAGCCAAACGAAATTAAGATCAGCGCAGAAGAGAGGGCGCAGATGACACTTCCGAGCCAATCTATGATGACGCATCAGGGCCTGTGAAGTCAAAAAAGGCCCCGACCGCCAAAACACCACGTCCGCAACTAAGAAGCAAAAGAGTGCAGATTGATGATGATGTAGCTCCAGTATGAGCAGACGGTTGGTCAATGTTATTATGTTTAAAGAAAATCAAAATGTTACTTATGATCAGAAGTCTAAATTTCAAAACAAAATCAAAATATACCCCTTAGGATTTGAATTCACTTTTTTTAATTGCTCTTTTCACAACGTTAGACTAAAAAAATAGATCGAATGAATATCACCAATAGCTCAATTTTACGTCTAGATCAACAATAAAAAAATCTAGTTTTCTTGTCCAACATGGAGATAATTTCTTTGCCGACCTTGACCTCCGCGTCACCTCAACCAAATTAGACGTACGTGGGCTCAATAGATAGCTAAGACGTTCACCTATCGAGTAATAGTTTTAACTCGCGATTCGTACATAGGTTCATTAGATATATTTTGTTTGACGCAGTCTCACATATGTATCGTTCTTGCGTTGGGCATCACTTCAGTGTCATCCGTTTTTGCATTACACTAGCAGTCGTCTCTTTAGCACTAGGTTTTAGCCTCCGTACATCCTTCTACATATCTAACTCTAACATGCCAGATGGGCTTTACTAGTTGCTATCAAACATGCAACTGCGTTTTACGTCGAATAGTCCATTGTCATTTTCCAATAGACATTTTCGGTGCTTGCATGACTAGAAGATGAAAACAAATCATCAGGAATGGCTTCTGAAACCTTTTCCCGTTTAATAACACACACACAGAAGGAGGGCTCGTCATCCAGAATAACGTCGTAGGTTCGACACACACTTGCGTTCGCAGTCTCTATTGCCCCTCACTATGATGAAATTTCAAGTCGTATTTTTCTCCAAATAAGCGACCATATGCACCGATAATGAAACTATCTGCCACCTTCTCTTGTAACTTGTCCAGAATGCTACCGATGATCCAGAGTATACTACCGATGATCCAGAGTGAAATCTTTATACTACTTAGGGGATGCTTTGTAATCGAGCCAAGGAATAATTCTTACTACAAAG